GTGGTTTGGGCCAAATCTCTTGCCCTTTCTGGGCCTCTGATTCTCCTTTATGGGGCAGGTGGTTAATGGCAGCTCCAGGGTTAAACTGCCTGAGTTGTGCTTATAGCTCTGCATGGCCTTGGACCAGTCATTTCCCTGTGCTGCTCCTCAGTTTCCTCATCTGTAAAATGGGGGTAGTAATGGTGTCCACGTTGTAGAGTAATTGTGAGACCACGCAAAGAATGACGGGAAGGGTGAGTTAGGTGAGTGAGTGAATGAATGAACCAATGGATGCCAAGAGCGAGAGACTGGAGGAGGGAGGCCCCAACTAGGTCCTTGCCCTCACTGCTGGGTTGAGGGGAAGGCTCATCCTTGTAGCCAGCAGTCAGGGAGGGCTCCTTGGAGTTGGTTAAACAGAAAGGACTGGTTTCACCCAGGAGGACTGAAAATGTGAGGGCAGCCAGGTGGCATGAGGACGCCCCCATCCACCCAGCTGAACCCCACTGCACCTGCCTCTTTAGCCCAACATGACACCTGGCAATTGCTGGGCCTTCGCGGGAGACCGCGGCCAGGTGACCATCCGCCTGGCCCAGAAGGTCTACCTGTCCAACCTCACACTGCAGCACATCCCCAAGACCATCTCGCTGTCAGGCAGCCTGGACACCGCCCCCAAGGACTTCGTCATCTATGTGAGCATGTCCTGGCAGGGGGCAAGGCCTGCCCAAGGCCTGACCAAGGGGACAAGCGTGTACCTTGTGACAAGCAGTGCCTACACACGTATGCAGGCCAGAGAGGCCAGAGGAGGCCAGGTCAGGCTGGGAGCAGCTGGTGAGGCCAGAGCTCAGCCTCTGAGGGTAGGAAACTCAGCCTCCGAGGGTAGGAGACCAGCTCCTCTATTTCAGCCCAAGTGTTTCAGAGACACGAGTCTCCAGAGACCACTGAGCCCCCATTTCCAGAATCCTCTGGACCTTCTCAGTAAAATCAGGTCCAAATAAGGGTGAGGGACACACTCCAGTCCCACAAGTCAACGGCACTCAGGGTTGTCCTGGGACAAGGGCTTTGCCCGACAGGCATGGGAGGCCTCCTGGTGGAAGTGGCTAAGGATGAGCAAGCGCAGGCTTAGATGGCAGAGCTAGAAGCAGCCCATCGGACTCTGCCCCCATCCAGTGCTTTTCCCACCCAGTGCCCTCTGCGGCCCCCTTCTAGTAAGACACGCCCTGTTCTAGGAGGGATGCAAGTCTTGGCTGTGGAGGGATAAAACCTGCAGCAGGCCCAGCCTAGATCTGACACCTCCTCGGTTCTGGTCCGCAGGGCATGGAGAACCCCCCCAGGGAGGAGGTGTTCCTGGGAGCATTTCAGTTTCAGCCAGAAAACACCATTCAGACGTTCCCACTCCAGGTACCTGAAGATGCCCGGGGTTGAGCACTTGCTGTATGTACACTGCACACGCCTTACCCAGGAACCCCTCCTCCTCCTCCCCCAGCAGCCCAGGGGTGCACGGTCATTACCAACCCACTCAACAGACAAGGGAACGGGGCTCAGAGAGAGGCAGCTGCTGCCTGCAGCCCAGAGCGGGACCCCGAGGAGGTCCATCCAGCCTCCGGGGCCTTTTGCAGCATGTCCTGCCAGGGGCTGCAGATACTGAGCAGGGGTGCCCATTGGGCAGGGGTGCCCGTCAGGCAGGGATTGCTGCTGGGCAGGGAGCTAGTGAACAGGCTCCACCCACTCCCGGGGCAGGAAAAGAAGGGGCCTGTCCTTTCAGAGTATCCACCAGGTACCAAGTACTGGCAAGCGGCCAGCCCCCAGATCTCACGCCATGCCTACAGCCATCTTGGGAAGCAGATATTACCATGCCCATCTTACAGAGGAGGAAACTGAGGCCCAGAGAGGGGTGGCGGTTTGCCCAGGGTCCCACAGCACTTACGTCACCAGGGACCTAAGCCTGGGTCATTTTCTCAACCAGAGCATATCTGTCCTTCTGGCCTCAGCACCTTCCGTGCCAGCCCCTGAGTAACGACTTGGTGTGTGACTTTGGGACAGTCTAGTCCCCTGTATGGGCCTTGGTTGCCCCACCTTGACATGGAAGAATTCCCTTTCCCCTCCTCTGGACAGGTAGGGGTGAGAGGCCATGGGCGAGCTGCCGCCATGTTTGAATCTATCTTCCAGAACCAGCCAGCCCGGACCTTTGGAGCAGTCAAGGTGAAGATCTCCAGCAACTGGGGGAACCCACGCTTCACCTGCCTGTACCGCGTGCGCGTGCACGGCTCCGTGACCCCGCCCAAGGAGCAGCCCGGCCAAAACCCCAGCCCTCAAAGAGATTAAAGTTTATTCTTTAGCCCCAGCCCAAGTGTGAGTGTCCTTTGGCTCCTAAGAGGGAGAGCAGGCTAGCATCTGCCGTCCAAGGTTAGCGACTCAGGGTCACACGCCAGGTCCCCAGACGCCTTCACCAGCTCCCCTGGGCACCTCATTTCACAGATGGGGACAGTGTTGGTTCAAGGCAACAAAGTGACTCTTGGTCATGGCCAGCAAATGGCACCACCAGGTCTCAGACCCAGGCAATCTGATTCCTGTTCCTAAGGTATCTCTCTGGCTTTAAATCGAGCTCTGGCTCTGACCTATGTGTGACCTTGGGCCTCAGGCTCCCCATCTGTGCATTAGGGAGCGGATTATGAGGTTGGTATCAGGCGCGGCTGTAGATGAGGTTCCGCCCTCCACAGAGTATTTCAACATCACAGGGGCAGCTCACTGTGGGGCATTGGACCACACGTGCACACTCTCTGGATTTCAGTTTTTCCAGGTACAAGAGTTTCTGGGCCCAGCCTCAATGGCACAGTACGTAGTATACTGATCTGCAGTGCTGGAAGCCATATGGCCAACCATGGTTTCGAATCCTTGAGTTTACTTGAAACACACCAAGTGTGTGCAGGCCCAAGATCCAGCTAAGCTGGAGGGCTGGGGGAGGAGGACTGCAGCATGGGAGGTCCTGTGGGACATTTCTCTCTCTCTCTCTCTCTCTCTCTCTCTCTCTTTCTCTTTCTCTCTCTCTCACACACACGCATGCACACACACACACACACACACACACACACACACATGCACACATTTGTGCATGCATGTTCATGTGCGCTCTCTCGTGAAAGAAATAAAACTTCTTTGAAAGTCTCTGTTCCCCAAACTTCAGCCTGTTTTGTCTGTAATCTTTGCTGTAGCTGAGTCCCTCCTGCCCTGGCATTTCCTTGAGAGCTTCTAGAAGTACCACGCATGGTGCCTACTGACAGTGACTTGCACAACCTGCCCCCAAAGCTCTCAGCACAGAGCATGAGGCACAGAGGAGCAGGTCAGTGATAGACAATACCTCGGCCTCGGCCCCAGCAGGTGAGAAGAGGCCCCTCTGCGAGTGGGGTGTGGGGCAGCAGGCCAGGTC